CATTACTAAAACACAGCAGTAAGTCTAATTTTGAAGTCACATACAAATTATAACTTTAAAATTAGCATTTTTAATTTTATTCTAATTTTTAATATAATTTCCTAGCAAGTTGGTATTTTAAAAACGTAAAGAGGAAACAGCAGGCAACGATCAATACTTGATTATATGCCCTTGCAGCAAAGAAGGCCAACGGTGGAAGAGCGCTGCGGGAGGGCCGGAGGAGGGGATTCCTCCTCTTCCTCTAGCTGAGCCACATCTACCCGGTTCTCCACAGTGCAAACCAGACATGGTCGTATTAAAGTGAGTCCACCCAAGGGCTGCTAAGATAGTTAACAGAGATGATATGAGGAGAGGCTAAGAGAGCTGGGACTGTTTAGTCCAGAGAATGAGAAGGCTCTTACTAACATGTACAAATATCTGACCGGCTGTGGCATGCTCAGGGGCTCTGGAGAGATTCAATAACCTGGACAACCCAAAACCACATATAACACAAGACATATGTAAAGTTAAGCTATAAAAACACACAACAAGGGTGTACTGGAAGAAGAAAAGGAGCTGATGTTAACCGGTAAGTAAGTGTGATCCACACGGAAGCACCCATCGGGCAGTTAAGAGCACACTGTGGATCCAGCACGGGCCTGGCTATACTCCTCCTGAAGTGGAAGCAGCTCATGCAGAGCCAGCTCTGGTGCCTCTGCACCAACAGCACGGGTAACCATCAGGCTGGGTATTTCATCCATGGATGATCAGGAGTTAACTGTACCTGGATGAGCTGCATGTTTAATCCACGGATCATCAAGAGTTAACTGTACCTGGATGAGCTGCATTTATTAAGCGTTACTTAAAACCGTGCCTACAACAAACAACACAAAGAAAGGTTATTCAAATGTGTTCCTTTCAAGAACCTTTCTATACACTTCTGAATGTAAGTTTCCCTTTGCCATATATTATGTATTGAGCAGGATTTATATATTCAGATTCTTAGTCTGCTAGCTACTTTTTTAATTTAAATGCTAAGATAACATTTCTCATAAGCAACCCTCACCCAGGATTATCAACGTTGCTTCAATCTGGCATTGCAGGCATTTTGATTCAATTAACACTATTGTAAAAAAAAAACCATAATCTTATATGTCCTAAGGATGATGTGGGCAGTATATACATTGTGTTTCAAGTGAACTAAAATCTTCATGTGCAAGGGAATACAAAAATTTAAAGCATTATTACTAATACTCAGCAAGGGAAATCAGGCTAATTACCATTATACCTCCCCATAATATTATACTGCCATTGTGTCTGGTGGAGGTCAAACTGTGTGCTGGCAGCCTTTCTGTTTGGCTTCAGTTAAGTGATCGAGAGACATTTTTAGTGCAAACTTTGGGAACAGCTATCAAACATATAATATACAGCTGAATTTACAAATGAGTCGGATGAATAGTATGTTACTGATACTTTTCATTTAATGTCAAACTACATTTCAGTTAGATTTTAGCCTAATACTTTGTACAAAGAAATAACGCTGCTATTACCTCAGTGGGACATAACCCTGACCTTTAACTTGAAAAACCTCAGCAAGTTACCTTCCTGATAAACAATGCAATATTAATATCGCAGCTGGGCATAGTTCTCTGAACACTCACAGCAGGTATCAAAATTGTTGCTCTTTTTTTTTTTTCAGAAATACAGCATTCCTTTTTAATGGGTATCTTTAGCTTCAAATAAGAGAGGAACAAGTAGAGTTCAAGACGTAATTGAAGTAATATTGTGTTAAGCTAAAGGAAGAAACAGCCCATGAAGTAGCAAATATTAAATCATGGAAAGCATAAATGTTAAAAGTGATTCTAACCATGTGTAATGTTATGATGCAAGTTTCTTAGTTTCAATATGCTTATTCGTAGTACAAAAATAAGCAATAACAAGGATTTGGGGAATCTCTTAGCATCTCTTGAGATCAGATATGAACAAAAGGTGTCCAAAGGTTAGTGTTAAAAGGCTAAACTCCCAAAGTTTTAAAATAAGCTAGCGGCCTCAAAAGAACTTGAAAGCAACTCTTACAATAGAGCAGAGATGCTATGAGTATATTTGAAAAATGAAGTCCAGTTTATGTTTGTACATAAATAAGCCTAAGAAACCAATGATGACTGACTTTCGGGTCATCTGTGCAGTGTAAGGAACAAAGATGCATCTCAAGCAGTATGAAAAAGTATCTAGACTGGAGAAGCACCCCATTTTATAGCTGGAAATGCTCAGAACCGCACTCAGATGTCACTAGAACCCATCACCAAATAAGTGAAGTCACAAAACAAAACCAGCTACAGTATCAGGGATCTCTCAGCTGCGATTCCCACATGGGTGCAGAAAGGCACAAGAGCTTACAGACTAAAACAAAAAAGTGGAAACAGAAAAATATCAAGCAAATCCTTCCACTCAGTACCGCGTTCATACAGGTCAATATCCTATGAATTCAAACACTTAAAAAGAAGAATTGAAGCAGCGGAAATGGGGTGAACAGTAATACTACCAAGAGAATTGATAGCTAGACTACTCACAAGAATTTTTCAATGGAGGAATAAAAGGAAGAGAGAGATGAGTAAGTCAGCATTGTGATATGGCTAGTGAAAACTGTAAATGTTATCCTAAAAAGTATAAATGCCGAAACATTGGTAAAAACTTACTGAATGTACTTCTACAACTCTAAATACATTTCAGGAAATGTTCAGTTAAGCAGTAGCGGATACAGAGAACAGAAATAGTACAGAGGAATGGAGAGATTATCTAATAAGAAAGAGTACGTAAGAAAATCTTGTTCATCCTAGCAAACTAAGATACAGAAAAAAAATATGATTGTTCTTACAATGGAACAAAATGCAACATATGAAAGAACAGAAAGAATAAACTGACTTTAAGCTGGGCATTTTAAGGTGGTTTATGACCAATAAAAAGGACAGAGGACAAAGTGACGGGTTTTAAACTGGCAGAGACCTACTAATGGGGCTATAATATTTCTGGTACCTATTTAAGAAAGGGACTGCATTTGAACATCTGTACTGTCACTTCCAGGCTTATGTTCTGCTTTCCTGAAAGTTAATCCCCAGACCCCCAAAGTTGCAGAGAGAGAGCAGTAAAACAGCAAGCTAAAGATGTCTGATTGGGTTACTGGAGGACATCGGTTATTTTATCTTTATACTCTTTTAAAAGACAAAATGTGCGTTAAGTGACAGATGAGAAAGCGGTAATCCACTTTATCCAATCCTTAATGATATCTGATTCCTAGTTATGATTTATTCTTTAATGAAATGTTTGGATAAGATTTTAGTTGCTTTAACATTTTTAGAAGAGGAGATGCAGCACCATATGCAAAAATTTTGGGTCACTGCTCAGAATGACTCCTGAAAGATCTGTAGGAAGGAAGACTGATTCTGTAAGAGAGGAAATAAAGAGTGTCATTCATCTCCTACACACAGTCACATTAGAAAGAACTGAGATTTTTAATTTCTGTAGACCATTGCACAGTGAGTGTTGTCAGTCATATTCTAGCTCACAGAAATGAAGTTTTTACTGTATACTGCTAATTTACATACACTTTAAAGTATATAAAGATGCATCAGGCTGCAGCTGATTCTTCACTTGACCTTATTTGCATCCAGTCCTGCATATTCTCCCTCAGTAGAATTACTTATACAATGAAGAATTTAGAGGTTTGGGATTCGCTGCAGTATTTACAGGAATTACATCAGCTCCACAGATACTACCTGTCAGATATTACGGTCCTATGAGATTAAAACATTGGCAAATTGCATCCTTATGTTGCAAAGGAGCTGAAATATTTTTGTAGTTATGAAACACAAAGACATGCTACAACACTAATAAAACAGATTTCAAACTTTATATATGATGCTATGTATGTCATAAGTGCACGTAACAAAAGAAGCTAAATGTTGCATTTTCCTTCACTAAGCCCTTCCATTCTATAAATATAGTAGATGAATAAAACTTTTATGACAATGAGAAGTTAAGTTGTCTACAGAGATTGCCACTGAACATTGCTGCTTTCATCTGCATGTCACGTTGACGGGCATTTATATTGCCATTACAAACCAGAAGCCAGTAAAACGTGAAGCTTACTCAAGATGCCTAGCTGATCTATTCATATCATACAACAGATAGATGTAATAACCTCAAACTTCTGCAAATGTTCTACACGTGTTACTATGGAAACCTAATAAGAAGGATTTGCCAGAAAATCTTATTCTAAAGTCCTTCAGAAAGATCTAAAATCTTCTGCAAGCGGAAAGGTGGACAGAGGTGAATTTTATAATTTCCTCTTCAAAAATCATCATATTCCAGTCTACCCTCCAGTCAAGAAAAGGAGATTTACAAACTCAGAATAAAGACCAACTAACTCACAGAGAGCACAACCTCCACATAAAGACTTTTGAAAAATACTTTAAATAAAAATGAACGGAATACAGAAAAGATTTTTTAAAATACTAACAGAAAGCAACAACATTATATATGTCACCTGCAAAGAGAAGGAACACTGGTATGTGACTGGAAAAGCACAGGGAAGAGAGGATTTTGTTTCTTTCTTCACTGTGTCACAAAACTATGTAGTTTATTTTGAGGGACTTTCAAATGATACAGTAAAGAAATTTTACTAACTATGAGAAGACATGAATTAAAGCTAAAGGAACAGAAGATTTTAGGGCTGATGTTCCATTTAATTCCATTTTGTAAGACTTAATTCAACCAGTATTTAAACCAATAAAAAGTACATTAAGAATTGAAATGATAAAACAATGTCTTTGAAATCTCAGGATAAGGTTGATGTGAAAGTATTTTATTCTGGAGTTTGTATTCTTACTTCATCAATTAAATCATACTTAGCCACGAAGAAGATAAAGTGGAAGAGCTTTATGATACTCCTACATCATTGGTTCTTATTTAGAGTTTTCTGTGTTTGCTCTGCTTTTTCGTCTCTGATAAATGCTTCAGCTCACTTCGTGCTGCTGGCACCAGCTTTTCCCAAGCCACCCCAGATGCAGGCAGCTTCTTCTATTTCGATGGCAGAATGAAGGAATCCACGAAGCAGTGCACGCAGGACGCTGCCCAAAGCAGTCAAGTAAGCCTGCAGTGTCACGTGGAAAGCTGGAGACAGGAACGTGTTTCCAGAGCAAGACAAAGAATAATTTTCATAGGGGAATCTAGGTTCTTCAGGACCAGCAAATCAGGATAGTTTAAATTAAAATGCCACTTCTGTTTTTGCATCCTGTCTATATGCAGTACTGTGGTTGTTCCAGGTAAATATCCTCTGTCCTTTGTTGCTGACTTCTTAAGAAGAGGCAAGATTGAATATGATATTCCTTTTCCCCCTCAAACAATTCATCTTGAATTTTAATGCTTTATGATTTTCTTGCCATCTTTGTAGAGAATATTATTTTCAGTGAACAGTCAGGTTAATATTAAGTTTCACAAAGTTAGAATGACAGTTGAGCAATGTAAAAGTTACACACCTAAAACTAGAAAAACAACTCCAGAGAATACAGCATAAGAAATGAAAATAGCTGATGGACATTAACTTTTACAATAGCTATCTATTTGTGAATTTTTTTATCCAATAACTTCCAAATCGAATTAAATTGTCCTTTTTCCCATTAATTTCAAAGAGAAATGACATCTGACTGAAGATAATGTAAATATTAGCTCATAATAAAACAGCATTTATGAGGATTAAAAATTATGTGATAGACCTTTAAGCTGTTAACTCCTCAATAATTCAGTTTAACAAATTATTATATATTATTCTTATATTCAACACTTAGGAGCTGGTACATATAAAGAGGTTTTCACATAGGACTACAGTGTAAGATTAAATCTAATTCCTTTGAAAATCCACTGGAATTTTACTGCTAGCTTTGAATGCAGCAGAGTCACACTAGGCAGCTCTGAAAATCTGTAGTAACACTGAAACCTTACTTCCTTCCTATTTATTTAAATACAAACTGAAAGAAACTTTATATAGCAAAATTCTTGCATGAATCAGAGGCAAATCGGGTCCTGTAGTTGTAAGATGTTCAAATAAGGGTATGTATTTTCAAAACTATTTCCTCCAAATATCTGTTGTCATACATTCATTCCCTATATGGGATCAATGCCTTTGTGAACCTTTTTACTGAAAAGAATACTACAGAAAAGTAAACACTAAACAAATGCTACAGAAGAATTTCATAATGAAAATATCAGAAGTTTTAATTTAATTTAATTTAAACAGCAGATTACACCTGGATTCAGCAAGCACTTAGACACAAAGTTTTCCTCTTACAAGAAGTAATTTGAAGACTTCAGTGTAACTAGTCAAGTTAAATTCCTTCGTAAACAACATTATCTTGATGACTGCGGACCTCTAAAATCTACAAGGAAAGGAAAGGAAAGAATCTCTACACTTGAGAAAACTGTGAGCTTTTCTAACGCTGGGAGCATTATAAACGCCACGTGCAGCTCCTGTTCCCATTCTTCCCCATGCCTAGTGAGTAACATCTGCAGGGAAAATGACATATATTTCCTACAAGACATAGCAGTATAACTAGGTATAGAATGAGGAACCATGAAGTCCCAGCAAAGGAATACATGAAAAGGTACAGGAAGAAACAAGGAATGGTAAAGAGAGCAGTATGTGCTTCTAAATGAGACGACGAATTCAGGACAGTTTAAATGTTGGTCTGGGAACTGCTGATTTAGCTACTGTTGTAGTTTTTATAGCAGAAAATATTCACAGAAGTTCTGCAGACTGTATCAGGAGTTACATGCTTCTACACATGCACCTGAAACATTCCTCTAGCAGATAAATCAGCATATCAGCAGGATTTGAATCTAAGGCAGCAACCAAGAGTAGTAAATGGAAATGAAGGACTTCTTTAAGTATGTTCCCTATTTTAAAACACAGGTATTAAAGGAAAAACTAATCAGCAAGAATGATAATATACAAAGTGAATACTAATTTTTGGTCTCTACTATGCCACCCATAGAATGGACATTGATACCGAACAGAATAGGATATTAGGAACAAAAGGTTGAGGAACAGAAAAAAAGGGAGCCAGCTTGTCCTATACGTCTGGTAGGATGGAGATGAAAACAAAAGTTTTTTTACAAAAATGCTGCATATTAATTTTTCTATAAATGAAACAGTAACCTGGGATAGAGTCATTTTTAAAACACGTGAGTATAGCATATTCAGTCACTGGAAGAACAATGGCTTCTATTTACTGACGATTACACATGGAAAAAAAAAAGTACTGGACAAAACAAGAAAAAGAGCTAAGAAAAAATACAATTTGGTGGAAAATACCAATAATAAGAGCAGAAAAAAATCAAAAACTACATATGAATCACAACTGAGAAAAGAAAGGTATAAGAAAAACAGTATCACAGTTTATAGGATAATGAAATAACTTATAAGCCTTTAAAATGGAAGATGATGGGGGAAAAAAAAAAAAAAAGGCGCTGTGTAGGTCCAAGGATGAACAAGGTAGAAACCAGGCAGACAAGAGGACTGCTAAATGAATATTTTGCAAGGGTATCTGTGACAAGAAAAATCCATTCAAAATTGAATTTATGATAGGATGCTTCTGCAAAGCCCAATGAGTCAGAAGGGTATCTTCCAGAGGATGGTTAGAGTAACTCTAATGCCATCCGCAAAACCTGACTAATAACTGATTGGATGACATAAAAGCCATAATGAGAAATGATAGGATTAATTTAGCAATGGAGTTAGTCTGTAAGGAGATCACATTTCAGAGCCAGAAGGAGAAAAAGAAAACACTGAGGAAGGAAAGCAGCAGTAAAAATCCATAAACAACTTTTTAGTCTACAAAAAACTAAACACTTCAGTCTAGAGAAAGCGTGTAGAATGTTTCCTTCATGAACGTCAAATTATCAAAAGTGGAAGGACTAGATTAACTTGACACTTCACTTTGTTTTTCAAAGATATCATCACAGGAAATGCAATAAAATAGCCTGGAAGAGTATGTTGCCTTTGTGAGGAAACAGGATTTGAATCATGAATATGAAAATTTAATATGGATAAACCTTAACACTTGCAAAGCCTGATTCTTGACAAGCTGACCTAATGTACATCATGGATATGAGACAAGTCATTTGGTTGGTCTGAAGAATCCTGTCATTCATGTGTTGTTCAGGTCTAATCAAAACTGTCACATAATCAAGATAAGAACCTCTTATAAGAGAAGTTGCTATTTTTCTCTTTGCTTGCCCCGAAGAAAAAAAGGGGGGTTGCTGTTGCTTCCCCAAAGTGCTGGATACGGTGTTGGATATGGTTGTTAAAAATACGAAAAATGAGCTACAAAACTACCAATGAGATAATCAGTTCTTAATGACTCTTACTATTTTAAAAATATTGCTTCCGTGTTTCTTTGGTACTTACATTGAAAGTCTACCACATATCTTTCTTATTTTCAGCTGAAATTTGATGTACATGCTATCCAAACAAATTAGAGGAATTTCTGTCAAAATATCATTATATTAATGATAAACAACTTTTATTATTGGGCTACCCAATTTCTGGATACTTTTATCATCCATCCCACCAGACGGTGTGTTCACAAGACTGAAAAGACTGAAACTCTGGAAAGAATTCCATTACTCTTCATACACTTTTTTTTTTTTTTAGCCTTTCCAAAGATGTGTATAAAGTGAACACTCCAATTCATCATCTGCTCACAAAATTTTGCGGAAAGAGAACAAAAACAAGACAAAACATAAAAACAACCTCCTGACCTCAACAAATAACCTTCCCGAGCTCAGGTTTCTGTATAATGCTGATCAAATAAATCGGCATTTTTTAACATACTTTGTCATCTTGTCATCATGTTGTCTCATGACTTTTCCCTCAAACAACTCTTCATTGCGTTCCCCATTGAACTGAAGGAAACTAATCAGGAAAAAAAAAAAGTTTCTGTGTTATGAAAACCTTCAGGTCATTATATTTATATGCAAAATCAGAACGAACAAACATGGCTGCAAAGTGGTAGGTATTTTCTTTGACATCCAACTTGGCAACCCGAAGATGCATCTGGGAGGTGAGAGATCTATATTCAATCATATGTCCTCTCCAATTAGAAGAACCAGCAACTTCTACCTCCCACAGTGCTGCCCCCAAAATTAAGTTCACTCTCTACCATGAAATTCATGACAAATTCCAACACAGCATCATACGTTGATTTCTCTAAATCATTTAAGTGGAATCTTTGAAATCTATTATCAAATATATTTTGAATTGCATTTTTATAGCAAGCCATCTGCATCTATTGTACAAGCAGAAGCATGCAATAATTTATATACCGGACTAATGCTGTTTGTGATATGCAAAAAATGGCAGCACATAACAACAGCCTATTTTGTAAGAAAATTCAGTTTCTGTGAACACTGTGGTAAAAGATAGGCAAACATTCCTGTGGCCTTACTTCCAGCAGTATTAATGAAATTTCAGCTATTATGGTAGATCCAGTAAAAAACAGTGAAAGAAACATGTTTTCTGTATTTCAATTCGTTTTTATCCTGCTTATTCAGTAAGGAGGCAGTAAAAATAAAATAAAACTGAATAAATAAGGCAGAAGCTGCATGCATTGAAGTCACAAGAGACACCAAGTTTAGTCAAATTTTCTTTAAGAAAATGTATTCGTGACAGTATTCTTCCCAGCCCCAGGCAAGAGCTTTCCTGATTTCAAAATGCTTAGCTCAGTGAGCAAGATAAAGACATTGCATCAAATTTGACCTCATGTAAGTTAAATTTGACTGAACTTGAAACAATGATCTCATTTTTGCGCAAACTCCACCAGAAAGAGACTCTCAGGGAATTTTATGTATAGAATTATTTCTTTGTCAGCTCTTGACTTCCTGACATCACCTTTCCTGGCTTTTTTTTTTTTTCCTTTTTGACTTTTTCTCACCAAGTTTGTCATTCCTATTTCAGACCTTTTTTTCTTTCTTCTACTACTATTACTTTTATTATTATTATCATCTTCATTTTTCTACTAGTACTACCTAATTTTTTCTACTTCTCTTACTAACTCTTATCTTACTAAACTATTCTTTTTAACTATTGATATTTGCTGGTTTTCAATATTGTATCTCCTCCTTTCTCAGAATTAGGTGGAAATTTTCTTTCATGATAGCAAACTGAAGAGGGCAAGTATGAACAGTAGAGACTCAGAAAACAAAAGGCAAAGGCTTTTAATAATTGTGCACTTCCGAGGACCTCATGCATAACTTTCAAATACTGTATCTTAATTTCAAGTTGAATTTCAATTCCAACCTTCATACTTTTAGTTTCCAATGGTATTGCTTACTCTTCCAGGCCCCATTCGTTCCTAATAATGACCTCTCCTTCCTACTCACCATCAAAGTCCCAGAGACCTCTCAGTTAGACAGAATACTTGAGGTTACGGAGATTTCAGCCTTTCCAATCACATGCAATGCAGGAGTGGTTTCCAGCTCCAAGGTACAAGTAGATGCCCTGGTGTCTTCCAGGCGCACCCCATCACCTCTCTCTGCTCTCCATCCCCACGTCTCTGGCATCTGCTTTTCTTAGAAAGAGAAAGAAGCTGTATTTGCCTTTCACTGACTTCCCAGTGTAGACAACATATGGCGCAAGACTGTGAAGCAATCTGCTCAGAGTCTGGATGTATTCTCAGCTTTAACTTAGTGAAGTGTTTTATATGAAGCTTACATGGAACAGTTCTTTGCCTGTTTTCAAAAGAATGGCTCTGGAGTGCTGCTGGAAGGCACAATGTACTTAGAAAACAGCAGTGGGAAAGTTTTAGGACTTTCACACATACTTAACATTCGTATTCCATAATGCGTTTGGAACATTTTCACCTGTCGTATGACTAGTTTTATATATAAAGTAAATGTTTAAGTGGCAGCCCAGATGCTCACTACTTAATTCTGTACACTATATACTGTTGACTACAAAATGGAAATAATAATGCTTCCCCGCCTGATAGTGCTACAGTTCTAGCAATTATTTTGAAGCTATGTTAAGACTTATGTTGAAGCTGTGTTGAGAGAAAGCACAAAACTTCTTCTGAAAGAGAGGAAAAAAGAGAGTGCACCCGTTCATCTGCTCCAGCCAACATAGGCCTGGCCCTATCAGCTTAAACAGGTTTGCATTTGTACAAAGGAGGAGGGGAACTAATCTGCACCTTCCTTTACACATGCATATGTGGCTAACCATCATCCAGTCTTCCACCTGCAATTCTTTGATGTATGTAAAAAAAACATGAAGCAGAAGGGCTTTTTCCCAACCAGAATGTATTATTTTTCCCCTACTACACACTAGTGCTAATGCGCTGCCACCTAGTGTACCCAGACAATATAACAAAGAGAAAAAGGTTTGCAACATGGCAGGAGAAATTCTGCCAGCTTACACCGAATGCTTTTAATTCCTATACAACTTACTTATGGCATCTCTGCATATATTATTGTTATTTTTCACTAAGAGAATGCATACAGGCCCTCTCTCTTACAGAGAACTCCTTGACTTGATAGACTGCAATGACTTCCACGAGATTATACTGCAACATGTAAGATGGTCTCATCAGAACTTTTACTCCCTTTAATCTCATTTGGAGCAACTTTTTCTAAAAAGAAAAACAAAATTACACAGTATTTAAAGACAGGAATCTCTTAGTGGAAAAGTGTTTTTTTGTTTATTTTTCTCAATTACAACATATTTCATTTCCTATTTACAACTTCAAGTCTTCATTCTCTACAGTAAGAACACAGAAAGCATCACAACTTAACAGGTGGACTAAAGGACCAGAAATCAGGCACACACCTCTGCTCGCTGAAAACCTGGTCTTATCTTTCAGGAATACTCTGTTCATACAGCCCTGACTTTCCACTGTTTTGAACCCTAGACAATTACCTAATATTGTATGTACAGTGGGCAAGCAAAGAGGTCTGCTTACTCTGCTAGGATTAACTTTGCACAGATGGAGTGCACTACACAACGTGAGCCAGTAGAGATCACACATTATACTTTTAAAATATTTGCAGAGCTGTTGCGAAAATCAATTATTATAGATAAATGCCCTAAAAGTTTTATTGTTTCCAGAACTTGTTGTAATCTCTATTTCCTACAGTGTGAAAAAAGGTTTTCCAGTAATCAAGTAACACTGTAGTCTACTTCGTTCCAGAACAAAGATTCTGTACCCTGGTTAAAATACGGTCATTTCTTTTTTCTCCAATAATGCTGTAGAAACACTGCTAATTTTGGCAAGAAATCAATAACGAGAAAATAGTTTTATATGGCACGGAGTCAGCTTTTCTATTCAATGACAAGTGCAACATCATAATCTTAAAAAAGAAATATGCAGGTAAAAATTCCTACTTAAAAAGTAGAACTCAAAGAGAAAAACATACAAAAAGCAGAATTAGGTTAGCATAATATTCTATATTTGACAGCATAATTCTCATGTATTTGATGTAGGATTCAGCTCTACATAAAATGATTACTAAATCAATATTCATATTTTGATAACTTTATATAGCCTGGATCTTTATTAAATCTTTGAATAAAGAAAAGGCTTTAAGAAGCTTTGAACCAAAATGCATGTAATAGTGTTTAGTTTGTATGAAATAATTTAGGATCTGTTTTTTTATTACAAATAATACTATAAAACAAATGATTTTGACATTCTAATAGTAGCAAAGGATCACTGACATATTTAACTATTTAAGAGTGTATGAAATAATAACAATTACCTACGACATGGCAAGAAAATATGGAATTATAGCAATAGAACAATTATAAATGTCAGAAAAAAAAAAACAGGTTATGTGTCTTACCCAGTCTATACAGTGTGTCAATGAAGTAATCAGGAAAAATACGGATTGGTCTTTGCAGAAAGAACTTTATGCCTCTCACATCATAATATGGCTCAATTAGAATACTGAGCCATGAAATCACAATCCAGTTAATGCCTTTCTTTATATACAAAGAAGGACAATAAAAGTGTTTAAAGATGTAATATACAAGTGTGTATATAGACAGAGTATGTGTGTACTTATTTCTTTCATACATGATATACAGTGTTCCTGCTTTGCGAAATATTTTGAAAGATCATGTAGCCCCAATTAGAGTCTTAAAAAGGCTGAGAAGAGGCCACTTGTTTACCCCAAAAAGATAGCTTAAAAAAAAAAAAAAAAAAAAAAAAACTTGAAAGCTTGAAGCTAATGACATAACCATAGTTACGGCATCAATTTGAGTCTGGAAAAGTGCCTGGAGTAATAGCCCTAAAATAAGCAGCCTATCGTACACGTATCATTGAGGTGCTAAATTTGAGGATTTGCTGCATCAAGGACACAGCACCAACGGCAGAGGAGAGGAAGAGGCTTCTGGTAAGTGCTGGCACCCCTGCGGCTGCTGTTCCTCGGCAGCAGCTTCCCGGAGGGCTTTCTCTCCTCTCCAGGGGGGGCCAGGAACCATCTCCATGACGCTCACAAAACACATGGACAAGTCGGAGAGGCTTCAACACGGAGCCACATAAATTCTGTTATCACAATTAATGTGAACGCAAAGGGATAGACTGGTGAACACCAAGACATCCAAACCTTCTGCTGGTGAATTTATATGAATAAAGATACCCATGCCCATCTCCCCAGTTCTATCATCACCACTAATGACAATGAAAATATACAATTTCTTAGCATTTTATTGCAGATACACAATGGAAAGTGTGGTAGACCTGTAGTCTTTAAACAAACTGATAAAAGAAAAATAAGCTATTTAATCTTTTTCTCTTTTCATTTTGTTAGTTTTTGACGGTGGTAAATCACAAATGTCATGAAAACCCTTCCAGCAACTGGAATACAATTAAAATTACAACACGACCAAGTCAAACTAAAGACATCCCTCATGTGGAATATATTCCATAGTTACCATAGGAGGTTTCTGATATTTTCCTATTAGGCACTGAGTAGCTGAAGAAACCTGATGGGGCAGGATTATCTTAATAGGAAGGTAGAAATTAGTGAGCCATTACTTACAGATAAATTAATATCAAACCAAGACAATGGGGGAAAAAAAAGGGAATTCAGGATTGTTTACATTTGCTTTAGGATTTTTCTTTTTAATTTTCTAAGCTATAAAAGGAGCTTACTCCCATTTCAGTTGCTATGTAAACTAATTCAGACTATGTCAGGGAAAATATAGAGCCACTGAAAAGTGCAAGCATTATCTGTCACCTAAAGAAAGTCAACTCTGGAAAAAAAAATACCAAAATGGGGAATACTCTAAAGAAAACCAAGGTATTCTGACACATTTATTTGTAAAGGAAATAAGGAAGGACAATAAAAATGATTGCAATTTTAAACAGTATTGGTTTGCTAAATTTTTATGAGAAGAACTAAAGAAAATGAACTTACACCCGCAAGGAAGAAAAATAACACAAGCATTTTACAAACCGGTTTAAAAGCCTGTATACGCTACCTCAGTTTATACTTCATCTTCTTTGACCAAATCCTCAGTATGAATATATTATGACAATATTTTTACAATTACATAATGATGCTACGAAGAGATAGGATCAAAATAATCATCATCCAGTGAAGAAAGTGTTCATCTTATTTCCAGCCATTATATGCAATTTTCTATTGTGAATTTAAGTGTACTTACAGTAAAGTGTCTAGCAGTACATTGCATCCTAGTTACATGGGATCAAATCCCATCCTATCCAGTAATAATTTCTGAAAATCTTTTCAGAAGCTTTATTATCTGTGGCCTACCTGCCCATCAAGACTGTAAAATGAAAACTTTCTCCTGGCATATTTATTTCACTACGAGAAGAATTTTTGAAACTTGTGATTTTCAGAATAATCAAAATGTATACCTCTGTAGAGTCTGCTTAATTTATCTGCAGCAGTTTACTCTTCCTTCCCTAAGAAATTATTTCAAATAGCCAATGATAAGTTAAATTACATCACAGAGCTGAATCACAGGATAATTTAGGAGGTCTTCAGTGCAATCTCTTGCTCAAAGCAGGCTCAGCTATGAGGTATCAGGTTGCTCCAGGCTTGCTCCACTTGGGTCTTGGAAACCACCAAGGATGCCACACTGCACAGCTTCACGGTGGAACCTGTTCCAACATCACTGGACTGCCCTAATGGTGCCAAAATTCCCCCTAATATCAAACTGGAACATGTGGAAGGGATTTTAAGTCTTTTAAGAGAGACAGCTGAGAGTTTTATACAGCTACCACATGCAACATTTAATAGTCTTAATTTACTGATCTGGAGATGAATGCCACACATCTTCTCAAACGGAAATGATTGCAACTCACTTTGAAATAGTACCTTGAATTATGCTGTAACCTGTAATGCTATTACTGTATTACTGCTTGATGAGTCAAAAGGTTTTACCTCTACAGCCATCATACAGCAGTTTTACTTTTATTAACTAATGCTATTGTCCATATTACAGACTGAGAGCTAATTACTGCTAGAAATTAACTGAACCTTGGTAAAAATATCTTAATTCCCTTATTGCTAAATCTGAATATAACAGGACAAGGAAGAAGGGAAGGAAGAAGTGAAGCATGCACCAACTTCTTACCAATCGTGAAGATGTTAACTTAGCTCCCTAAACTTAGCTGAATTTTCTGAAAATGCATTCAGAAAGGTAAGCATTGATCTGGAGTTTAATTTTAGATTCGTTTTATTCTAAAATATGATTCCCATGCTTCCGTTCTTTAAAGCTTCTCTTGCTATTGACTAAGATAATTCCAGATCCAAAAAGCATGTATTAAAAACAGGTGAAGAAAAAGGTGCATCTTTTCAAATTACGGAATATTTTTATACTTTTAAAAAAGTGAAAACCCAGCCCGGCCCATGGAGGTGTCTGGCTGTCCTGACCACCCTTCTCCCTTGCAGGCCCTGGGACGGACCGCGGCTCCGCAGCCACCTCAGCGCGGGCCCGGCACATCCATTCGGCCAGGGCACACGACGCCGAGCTCAGCCCTCAACCAGGAACATGGAACGGCTTTCTGAAGAGCCCAAAACGGGGACTTTCCCACATCTTATTCGTCATATTTGCGGCAAGCAAACTGAGGGATAAAATGCTGCCAGGATTCAGTCACCAAGGACCTGATTATGTAGCCGGTGCTTAGCCTAATCTCTTCTGCAGCGAGTGCATCTCTCTTGCTGTAATTAAATGTGATCACAGGCACAGTTATTTGGGGGCATAATTCCATCAATTTCAGCCACCTAACTGCTTCAATTACAGGTGAAAAAGTTAAGTAATGAAAGGATATGAATGAAAATGTGAAGGTTGTAATGACTGGGGGCTAGACTGAGACAGCTAAAAATCATGTGAATGTGTGAAAGTAGGAGCCTATGCCTTGAAAGTTCAGAAATTCCACCAGTACTAAAAATGTCACATACCGAACAACTGAGACGTTTTTGAAGTTTATATCTTCTGCTTTAAAGAAAGGAATTACAGGATTGCATTAAAGCAAGGAATATTGCTATCTGTAAATTCAAATATTCCTATGAGTGGTAGCAAAGACAGATGGACCTTGTCCTGTAGTTCTGGGGAAGTAAAATTTAGAAATGCTACATTCACTTTTTACTTCCCAAAGACATACTGCAAGCCTGAAGAAATTTCACAGAAAAATAAATAAATAAATAAATAAAGCGGGTCAGAAATTGATGTTATGAGTTTTGACATCATTAAAAGAGGTAATAATTTCTTTTTTTGTTAGCAGTTGCCTCAGAAAGCTAAGCTGTATGAATACTAAGGAAGTAAATATTCTAAGTAGGATTATGAATTACAGTGATTAGCCTTAATTATATTCCTTAGGTATATTTTGTTTACTTATTTACGTATGGAATAAATGTCCTATATGGAAATTGGTAGTTCATGCTCTGAAGAATCAATATTTTAAACAGGTAAGTCACCCAGAAAGGAAGATATGGTGTTTGAAACAAAAATCCTGGAAATTCAACAGAACAGAAACAACCTCAACAGAACAAATGTCTAATGCTCTCCTGCATCCTGAATAATGGAATTACCCTTTTGTGCCCCCTGAAGAACGAGGGGGTTCACTAATACTGACCACACTTTTACAGAAATGTATACTTTTCCTTTTTTAACAACCACAAGGTATTTCTTAACAAAAACTACCAAAAATTCTTAGCTTGAGTCTCTCCCTACTGTATTGTCTTCAAATTGTGTAAGTTTAATTAATTAATTAAATTGGCATTCTTTTTTATTGACTTGTTTTATTTGCTTTCTAACTCTTTTGTAGTTGATTTTCATATTACTTTGTATTCATGAGTTTGAATAAGGATGAGAGAATCTGGAATTAAGGACCAGAAGCATTAGAGAATACTTTTACATATGCAAAACAGATATTTATCATTGCTCTGGAAATGTTGCAGGTATGATAGCTATTAACACTGATTTGACTAACAGGCAGAAAAAAAAATACCATCTGGTATAAATAAGATGTTAGTAGACAGAGTATTGTTTTAATTTACATATATAACCAATATGCAATATATGCAAATTTATGTTTTTAAAATTCTAGGCCTTAGTAAGAGAAGTCATCTATAAAATATCTTTCTTTATATACAAATATTGGCACCAACTCTTTTATTATACTTATAAAGCATCAAACCTACATGCTGAGTTAGTAATACAAATATTTAATCGATAGGAATTTTACAAGTTTCATGATGTAGCTTTGCTTATCACTGGATAAAGGAAAGAATAGGTAAATTTCTATCTGACTTTTGGATATTGGGAGTCTAACCTTTAAAAACCTTTAAGTCCATACTTTTCACTGAAATACTAAATATATTTGAAAATTAAATCAAATTTACTTACCCTATTGATAATGTATGCTATTTTAGGTACTGGGCCAAGCCAATACCACTATCAGACTTCCATCCCAAATATGTTTTGCATCCAGCCAGCTCAGAGCTGAGCCAATAAAGGGCTCACACTAACTTGCCTTCAGGCCCTCAGGTTCTGCAGCAAAGGGGAAAGTAGGGCAATTAGCTTTAAAAAAAAAAAAAAAAAGTCAAAGAAATAGAAAAATAGAGGGGAAAAAAAAAGAAAAGAAAAACAACTAACATCTCTGTCCAACAGCAAAAGCTTTGTTTATCCTACTTTCAATACGTGGTGTTATACTTCCTGAGCTTGCTTATGTTTTTTTTTATAGACAGCTTGTCACCACAAAGTAGATAATGAAAAAAAGACTTGGAAAAGTGATTTCATATACCAGGGTAAATTTTTCCCTCTCAGTAAGTTTTTATGTTGGTAAATTGTTTATTCATGGGATAGGACATCCTACGTCTGACCATTTAAAATCATACTGAAGAGTAATATGTCATACCTTTACCTTAGCTCTTTCCTATCTTAAACTGCAATTATCGTATACAAATGTGCAGATATCTTATAAGTAATATTAACACAAAATTGGATATAGAAGAAAGTTTGCTAACTTTATCAGGTTAAAAAAAAGCT